AATGGGTTTGACATACATCACATCAATTTAGTATTATTTATTATTTTATTTTCTCATATAATTTACCATTTTTATTCATTTAATTTGTCATTCTTTTGTTATGTTCTACGTCTTCTATTCTTTTATTGAATTTATTTATTTTCATTGTTTGTTATATTTAGTATCATTTCTTGCTTCTTTATTAAGTTTAATTTGTATTTAACTCCTTTATTACATTCTATTTCTTTTTGAAGTTTGTTTCTTTATTTTCATTCAAGTAATTTCAATGAAATTCATTAATTTAAATTCAAAATTTACCATTACATACATTACTTATTATTTTCAATCATTGTTTATTACTTTCTTGTTTTCTAAATTATTTTATTTTCTTTTTGAATGGAATAAACTTTTCTCAATTTATTAAATAATACATTCATTATTTCATTTCTTTGATTATGTAAATATCTTTTTTTCGATTATCCATTATTTTGTACTTCCATCTTTTCTTCATACACTTCTTTGTTTATATGTATTTCTATAATGATTGTTTTTATACGTAAAATCATATAGCTGAAATTATTATAAGCAGGGATACTGCAATACAAATGATATAAGTGTTAATTTATAATTCCTTTATTTATTTGAGTTATTCAATTCTTTATTCGTTTCACATTCTCTTACTATTGCTTGTTTTGAATTATTTCTTCATTCTCATTTGTTCGTATGATATACAATACTTGAATAATAATACAGGTAAACATAATTGAAAGAATACAAATAAAAGAGGGTTAGATAACTAATAGTTGAATGAAATAAAAAACAATGAAAGAATATGTTAATATATTAAGAAAAGAAAAACAAACTTTAACAAGAATAACTGATGAGTGACAAAGAAGTATTAAGAATGAACAAACAAAAGAATATATATTCTTGTTATTTATTTCATAAACAACTATTTAATTGATTATTAACATTAATATATTTATTTACTATGTTTTTTGATATTATTGTTATTGTTTTTCTTTATTATTATTCTTTTGTTCTTTTATTTACTTGTTTATTTATTATTTTTGTTTCTTTTTATTCTATGTTTTGAGTTATTCATTTATTTCGGATTATTTATGTTTCATTATTATTAATAGATAGATGCTTTTTAAATAATTGAATATTTCTCTATTTTCTTTCTTATTTATTACATTTCATTCTTTCTCTTGACATTCTTTCAGTTTAGATTATTTTTTATTCAATATCACATTAATTAATCCCTCTATCATAGTACAGTATTTCATAATTAATAAGTGTACAACATTATCGGTTTATTATCCTTTCTTTTATTTTCTCTCTCATTTATAATTCTTTAATACATTTGTTCCACTTCTTCATTATCATTCTTTATATTTACTAAAAATTTTCATTATATATGAATTTTTGACTCTATCTATTCTCTATTTGAAATTGACTGTTTATTCATTTCTTATTCCCGTGTGCTTTCATTTGAATTTCTCATATTGAGTTTATATTCTCTAAAAAGTCTATTATTTATTGCCAATTATGTTTCTTTATTTTTGTATCTTCCTCTATACTTTCACTTTTTAATTTGATGTTATGAATTATTATCAGACACTCTTTTCTCTTTCATTCATAACTCTCGACCGTTTGTTTACTTCTCATATCACTTCTGACTTCATTGCCTTACCATCTTATTTCTTTATACAATGTAATAATTTCCATTTGTTATTTTAAATAATAAACGAAGATAAGCCAAATAGATTAATGATTGAATGATTTAAATACCAACACAATACACAAAATGAGAAGAAAAAACATATGTGTGTTGAAAATAAAAACAAGAATTAAACAAAACAAATAGTTGTTTAACATGCATGAATCAACCCACAAATAAGTTTAGCACTTCCTCCTTCTAAGATCTTTTCAATCAACTTATCAATTCCATATGAAACAATCTTTGTGCATAATGTTTCAACAAGACCATCTGCTTTAGCACAGAGTGTTTCAAGATAATCAGTTACTTTATCAACTGCTCCACCAAGGACTAAATCAATCAACTTTCCAACAAGTGATGTACAAACAGGACAAAGAACTGGAATTTCTCTGTCTTGTTGTTTTTCTTGAGAAGCTAAACATAAAACAAAAACACAAAGGAGAACAAATAACTTCATACAAATAAATAAAATGGTTACTCATAGTTCTTCTTAAATATGTTTCAAACTTTTCTTAAAAATTACCAATAATATTATCAAAAGAATAAACATGAAATAACAAAATGACTAAATTAAACCAAAAAGAAGAAAAAGAAGTTATAAGTCAACATTTTGAATCTTTTTTTCTTCTTCCTCTTCACTTGATTTTTCTTTTTTTTTTCTTTTCTCTTTATTTTACATTTTTCTTCTTGTACTTATTTCTTATTTACTCATCTTTGTTATGTTTTATTTCAACCTTTATTTGAACTTTTGGTAGATTCTAACAAAACCTACTCCCACTTCTGTATATTTTCCTTTATTATTTTATCTTTTTTAATACTCTTTACTTCCTTGTTTTTCTTTCACCATAAATATCCATTACTGTTATGTACTTCTTGTTATTTGTGTTTTGATTCAATTTACCTTATGAATATCTTTATCACCAAAACAATCCTTTATTTTCAATCGGTTTTGTTATTATGACAATTCCTTCTCATTTCTCCTTTGTCTTGACTGTGTTTTTTGACTTTTAGAAGATTATCTAGAAAATGGTGATATAAACTATAACAATAACTCTTTTCATACTCTAATATAAATCAATTTAAGAAGTTAGTCTACACAAATCATTAACAATGTGTAATCATCATTTATGAACAATTCGTCTTTTACTTATTACAACCCATTTTCATGTTTTTGAAACAAAGGAGAATAATAATTACTTTTCTTATTTCTTGCTTTGTTCTTATTTGCTTTTTCAATAGTCACTTAAAGTGTCTTTCTCCATTACCTCTACACACAGTCTACAATATGAAATACATGAGCAATAATGTTTTAAGAGTAAATATATTACAAACAATGAACATATAAAAATTTCTTTATAAAGTTTATTCAGACACATTAAATGAAGTGACATTTATATTCATGGTTTGTTTTTGTAAATGTCTCATTTTTCTGACTTTTTTTCATTTGTTTTCCCTCAGTTCGAAAGTATCATTTTAAAAACATTACACATATATTGAAATAAATCATGACTTTGAATCATCAGTTATTGTCTTGTTATGATGTTATCTTTTAGTAGAAAACATTTTACTCAATACTTCAAGAATAGTAGGGATTATTGTTTATACAGAAATATCATTGATTATAATAGAAGAGTGAGCATTTATTAAGGTGGTAGTGTTATTTATTTATCAACACTCAATTCCATTTGTTAATAAATGAATTGAATATATGAGTATTATCAATAGAAAAGGATATATTTGATGGAGTTGAGAATAAATGGAATAATGGAATAATAATATGGTTGTACATGATATTCATTCAACATAAAATAAGAAAATAAGAAAATAAAGAAAGAGAAGCTTTAATATACATTAAATTCAAAACCAAATGAGAAAGTTACTTGAATGAACAATAAATAAAATGATGAAATATGAAATGAAATTAATTCAATTGAAATAAATGAGTATATACATTGTTAAAAAACTTAAATTTATAATTATATTCTGTTATCCTTAGTGATAAATGTCATACATTTGGTTATTGGGTTGAATGAATTTATTTTGATAATTTTAATACAATAATTTAAGTTTTACGAAATTTTAGGATTTCAATTTAATATACTGTTTTCCGAAAGAGGAAAGAGAATTTCTTCTTTGAGCGTATTTTCAGCAAAGTAAAATTAACATATACAACTTTTATTATAAAGTAGTTTGTTACACAAATACACTTTAAATAATATTAGACATTAATATCAAAACAAATATTTATACTAATTTAAAAAAAAATTTTTGTAAATTTTTGTATAAGAAAATGAAACGTAAGTATTAATATTTTAATATTAATAAGTTCATAATTTGAAAGAAACATCCTATTGTTTAATACTATTTTTATTAATCAATTAAATCGAAATATTAATATTTAATAACTGTACAAAAATATTTTTATTATTAACCAGAATATCTTTATATTCTTTTATATTCTTCTTCTTAATAAATCATAAAATTCAAAAAATGTATAATATACTATTTGATTTAATATAATGACATCACAATAAAAACATATTTATATAAGTTTAATAAAATAAAAATATCTGTTATATTATATAGGTAATAATCATTAATACTCTTTTCCTATTATATTCTATGGTTTTAGTATGCAAAATGAAAAACAATTAAATAAACTAATACGTACCATTATTTACTTGGTATATTTCTGTATGTTATTACTCTCCAAACTATTGATTATTTAAAACATAAAATAAAAAAAATGTCAAACTCACAATAATATAAATTACATTTATCAAAGAATATTTATCTAATAACTAATGAGATAAATCTCTCTAAACAATATAATCATATAACTAATTATGTGTTTTAGTTGTTAATTCAGAAAAAAAACAGAGCTATTTATTTTTTTGCTTAATTTCATTTAATATTTAATAATTAATTAAACGTATTATGATAGAATATTTCAAAGAATGATCTTTCTTGTTAGTTACATAATACCAAAATAATAAAGACTGATACGTTTGGGTAATGAAGGATATTAGATTTAAAAAATCAAAATGGAAACTTGAAAATGATTCAATCTGAAAATAAACAAAACATCAAAACACTTAAAATAGCAAAAAAAACTTTTTTGTTATAACACTTTTTAAAATTTTTTTCTAAGATATGGAGATAAGATAAATAATGAATGTTAAGGAAAGAAATAGTAAAAGAAGGATTAAAATAAAAAAATTGAATGAACTCAAAAAAAGAGATAAAAATAGATTTAAGTTAATACAGTTATAAGATCTGCATCTTAAATTCAATTCATATGTCGCATACCTATGAAACTTTAAAAACTCCACCAAGTGGAGGGATTTGTGCTGAATGTCAAAAGGCATTTAAAAGTAAAGAGAGTGTAGTTAAATGTACTAAATGTGGAGTAATTCTTCACAGTAAAAAATGTGAAGAGAAATATAGTAAGAAACGAGGAAATTGTACTGGTGTAAAAAGTTCTGGAAGTACAAGTAGTACATCAACTTCATCAACAAAACTAAATGGTAATAATAGTAAAGGAAGTGGAACACATTCTACACAATCTAAATCAAGTAGTTTAACACCTGAAGAACGAGAAAAATATATGAAAGAAATTGGAGAATCAATGAAAGTAGATGTTTCAGTATTACCAAAAGATCAATTAGATATTTTAATTGAGAAATATATTGAACAAAAACAAAAAGAGAATGTAATTATTAAAAGTCAAATGTCAACTCCTGAAACAGCTGTAAAGCGATTAGTAGATAGTTCATTTACTTTAAAAGAACTAAAAGACTTTGAAATTGAAATTAGAAATGCTAGTACTAATTATATTCAAAAATTTATTGAAAATAAAGGAATAGATGCTTTCTTTAAAATGTTTAATAAACTTATGATGAACCCTCATTTTAAAGTTACAGAAATTCCTGAAGCTGAAAAGAAAACTATTTATATTTTAAGAAGGCTTTTAGAAACTGAAACAATTTTTAATAACGTTATTTGTAGTGCAGAATATCTTTGTACTATTTTAATGGCATTATCCTCTAAGTCTATCTCTACAAACGAACGAATTGAATTAGTTAATGGAGTCTTACTAAAATCATGTGGTAATTCTGAAGAAACTACAACTCCACCTTATGAAATAAATTCTAAAAATTTAATTAAAGCATCTACTGAGCTTAAAAGTAAAAGAAAAAATAAAATTAGATTTGAATGGCTTGTTAACCTTTTTGATACAGAAAATAATGAACTAAAGAAAGCAGCCATGGGAGTAATGCATGCAATGGTAAAAAATATTGATAATATCTTCTTGAGAATGGATATTAGAACAGAATTGATTTGTCTTGGTGCTGAAAAGTTTATTGCAAATATTAATGAAATTTATGGTGAGACTGATGACCCTATTATGGATATTTTTGATGACTGGATTCAAATAAGTGAAGATGATGACAAAACAATGAAGAACCTAATTGAAAAGGTAAATGATAAGTTAGAAGACAAAATTGATTTAAATGATGATAAAAAAGTTTCTAATTCCTTAGAAAGAATTATGAAAGACTTACATATTGATAAGTTATATCATGAATTAATGAAAGAAGCTGCCTATTTGTCTAGTTCAGATACATCATCAGTCATTATGTCTAAATGGATGGCTTTTGAGTGTATTACTAGAATGGTTGGGTTCTATGATCTTGATAGAAAAGATCTTGATGGGGTTCAACCATATGATGAAATTTATGAAATTGGAGGGAAGAAAGTAAAATTAAATGAATTGTTTGAGAGTGTCTCTTCTGTAGCATCTTTGTATATGATTGATTCGGAATTAAAAGTTGTTAACGATAAATTGGTTGCAGCAAAAAATCAATCTGCTACTGCATCAGATCGTTTGAAAAAGAGAAAAGATAGAATCCCAGAATATGAAAATGATAAGAAAAAAGCAGACAATGAAATGAAAATTAAGCAAGAAGCTCTTCAAGGGTCTAAAGCTAAGCTAGAAGGGTTTAAACAAGACCTTACCTCTTTACAAAAACAACTTGCTGAAAGACCTTCCACTGTTGTTATTGGTAAAGTTAATACAACAATAACTAATAACGCTACTAGCACTATGCCACCCCCACCTCCACCTCCTGGAGCAAGTTCAATTCCACCCCCACCACCTCCTCCTGGAATGCCTGGTATGCCTCCACCACCACCTCCTCCTGGAATGCCTGGTATGCCTCCACCACCACCTCCTCCTGGAATGCCCGGTATGCCTCCACCACCACCTCCTCCTGGAATGCCAGGTATGCCTCCACCACCACCTCCTGGTATGCCAGGTATGCCTCCACCTCCTCCTGGAATGCCAGGTATGCCTCCACCACCACCTCCTGGTATGCCAGGTATGCCTCCACCTCCTCCTGGTATGCCAGGTATGCCTCCACCTCCTCCTGGTATGCCAGGTATGCCTCCACCTCCTCCTGGTGGTTTTGGATTTAGACCAGCTGCACCTAAACCGAACGCATATGTAACTATGTTGCCAAAACCCACCAAAAAAGTTAAAAACTTCCAATGGCAGAAACTTACAGATAGACAATTACAAGGAACTGTATTCCTTAAGATGGATACATTAGACAAAATTCCAATTGATTTTAAGATGATAGAAGAACAGTTTAAAGTCCCTGAAAGGGCAAAACCAACAGAGGCTAAAGAAACAAAGAAACAAGGGCCTGTTTGTATTCTTGATGGTAAACAAAATCAAACATTAACAATTACATTAAAAGGATTTAAGAATAAAACTATTAAAGAAGTTTGTGTTGCGGTAAATAAATGTGATGCATCATTATTTGAAGAGGCTAGTGCTGTTAGAAATTTACAAAAAGCTATTCCAAGTAAAGAAGAAATGGAACCAGTTTATGCATATTATAAAGAACATAATGGAGATGAAAGTAACATTGGAGTTGCTGAACAATTTGCATATGCATTGAGTAATATTCAATCCGTTAATATCAAATTAGAAGCATTTGCATGTAAATTAGAATTTCCAGTGAAATTATCAGAAATTCTTCCAGACATTAAGAAAGTTGAAGTTGCCTGCAAACAATTACTTGAAAGTAAAAAATTACTTCGACTAATGGAAGTAATTTTATTGATTGGTAATTATTTAAATCAAGGAACTGCTAGGGCTAAATGTCATGGATTTTCTTTTAACACGTTACAAAAATTGAGTGATACAAAAACTGGAGATAATAAACGAACACTACTTCATTTTATTGCTTCAATTGTTGAAGAAAAATATAAAGATGATGTACTTGGATGGGATGAAGAAATTATTGGAGTTGTTGATGCATCAAAAGTTCCAGGTGCTCAATTTGAATCAGAAATTGGAGGACTAGAAAAAACATTTGCAACAATTGAAAGTTCTGTTAAAAAAGTGAAAGAAGAAGAAGGGTGTGATTTCTTATCTGTAATGAATGCATTTATTCTTGCATCTAAACAAGACCTTGTAGATTTAAAAGAAACGTATCAAAAGACTATGGTCATTTATAAAGATGTACTAAAATATTTTGGTGAAAATGTGAGTAAACCACCTGCACCAGAAGAGTTCTTTAAACCACTTGCATCATTTATTGAAAGTTGGAAAAATGCAAGAAAAGATAATGCAAAAGCAAAAGAACAAGAAGAAAAAGAGAGGAAAAAAGCTGAAGAAGCTAAAAAGAAAGCTCAATTGGCAGCAGCTAGAAAAGCTGGTGGAAAAGTTGATGCTCTTGGAGATGTAGATACAATGAAAAAGTCACCGATTATCAGAAAGAAAACAACAAAGAAAATGGTAAGAATAGCTGAAGTCTAATTCATTAAAAAACTAATAATTAAAATTTTTTTTAAATAATTAAAATAACAAAAGAATTTAATTCATATATCAAAAATAAAATTACATCGATATTATTATATTTTTTATTTGTTTTTATATCTAATTATATTATAAGATTCATACCATTTTGTATTTAATCTCTTAGACTGAAATATTCTTATGAATCAGTGTCATTTCTTATTTAAATTTTTTACAATTACTATTATTTGTTTCTCTAATCAAACTATTCATTTTCCAATGAAATTATTTTGTTTTTTAAAGAACTACACTAACGTATTATTTGTAAATTACTTATTTGAAATACTTCTTCTAATGGAGTCTTCAAAAGGCATCAACTACCTAAACCCGATACATTTTTTGGTTAATTTGTTTTTGTAGTAATGTTAAAATATAACAAAAATAAAAAGAAATAAAAATATTCAATTTTTTATTGTAAACCAATAAAAAATAACAACTAAATAACAAAAAATAATAATTAAGAATGAAGTATAGTCTCGACTTTTTCTACAAATATTCTTTTTAATTGTTTTGAGTTTCTGAACGACTAATTGAGGAAATAGGAGAAGATGATGACGATGAAGATTTTTGAGTTTCTTTTGTATCTTGATAAATTTGATGCAAATGAGTAGTTGATAATTGGGATGGAGTAGATGATTTAGAAATTTGTTTTACAGAATTTTGAGATATCCTAGAAGTAGGTCTTGAAGGTAGTCTTGAAGGAGTGATAGCTTTAGAGAAATTTGATGGTGTTTCTATTTTCATAGGAGAAATAGGTGCCATCATTTGATTTGTTTCTAATTCCATAATTTTAATTTGTTTATTTTCTTCATCTTCAATAATTGAAGGTTCATTTAAGAAACAGTTCTTAATTACAAAAAATACAATATTAAATAACAATATTACAAAAAAAGAAACAATAATACATGACATAACAACCCATACTGATGTACTAACACTATCATCTTCTTTAGTATTATTTTCTTCATTTAATTTAGTAATTTCATATAAGAAATTTAATACTAAAACCATAAGATGTTTAAATAAACAGAGTTTTTAGTTCATAAAGAAAAGGAACAAAATACTTTTAATTTTTCTTTTTTAATACATTTGTAGTTTCTTTTTAGTTGTTTTTAATTATTATTTCATTCTTTCATTTTTATTATTTAAAAACTATAATTTAATAATTTTTTATTACAAAAACAAAAAAATAATAAAATTTTATAAATAGATTTTTGTTAATTAATATATTTTTGTTTTACAAAACATTATTTTATTTATATTTTTTTATTAAAAGAAGTGTTGTTTGAAGATAAAATAAAAATTAAAATAATTCAATTTACTAATTTAAAACATTTGTTTACCACCTAATATCATAACCTCTACAATTTCATTTGCTTCTTTCATTTTCATTAAAAATGTTGTCATATCAAATAATACTGGAGTCCAACAAATTGATAAATTTGTAGCATTCATTAAAGTAGTTTTTTGTTCTAATTGAATATCAAAATTAAGTTCCATAATTTTGTGTAATAAAGTATAATTCTCTTCTGGTAAACTTTTAAGTAATAAAAAAACTTGTTTGACTCTTGCAGATTTTTGAATATCTTTCATTCCCCAAATTTCAAGTAAACTATTTTGAATTTCAATATCAATAAGTCCACCTGGAATATCTCTAACAAAACGTTTAAGTAAAGAAGATAATTCTTTTGGTTCTAATAATTTAAAATTAGTAACAGACATTCTATTTATTATTTCTTCAATTTCTGAAACTTTTCCACATTCTCTAAATATTCCTTGAACTATTCCACGCTCTTTAATTTCTTTTATAATTTGTTCTAAAGCAATAGGAATACAATTTGATGGTCTGTTTTCGTTCTTTAATATTTCATGAAGTGGTTGATTTCTATACAATACAATGTCTTTAACTGATACTTTTCTCCACTCTCCTTCTTTTTTTCTTTCATAAAAATCATGTCCATCAATACAAAAATGTTTATATGTATCAAGAAAACTCAAAACAAGTTGTGGTGAAAGTTGAATATTTTTTTTAGCTTTAAATATTGAAGCACTTTTAATTTCTAATTTTTCTGTATCTTCTGAATTAAGAGTTTTTCCAACTTCTTTTGATGCTTTCTTTACATCATTATATAATGTTGTTACTTCATCCAAATAATATTTTTGTTTTTCTTGACAAGATAATATTTCTCCTGATAAGAATCCTGTTCGAGTAATCATTTCAGATAATTGGGCATCATCGATAATACTCATTGCTTCATCACTCATAAATAATTCTTGTAACCTCTGAAAATGTTCACCAAGGTCTTTCATAGTTTTAAATATTGATGTAAGTATTGTTTGTTCTTCTTTTAAAAATCCAATTCGTTTATCAAAATAATTCTTTTCTTCTTCAATCTTTTCACTTGAACTTGCCATATTTATCATTTTTAAGTTCTTTTCTTTTTAATTATATAAAAGATAGTTTTTATTTATTTGGAATGTTTTTATATTATTCTTCCTTCTTTATTAATTTCATTTATATTCTTCTTTATATTTTCTCTTTTGATTGTATTACCATTGTTTTTAATTTTTTGTTTTTAACAATTTCAAAGGTAATTTTCTTCTTGAATAATTGATGACTAAATAAATTAACAATACTTATTATTGTGTTTAAATGTTATATTCATTTATTGAATAATATGGTTGACTTTGTAAAGAAAATATTTTTTTATTAAATAACAAAATGAAATTTATTATTTAATATATAATTAAATTTTATAAAGATATTTTACTTTTTTTATTAACCATAACAATTATAGACTTACAATCCCTGTTGTTAATTAATAAAACTATCCATTAAAAAACAAGAATGTATTTTATCTATTATTCCATAAATGGAATTGAATGTTATAATTTGTGTTAAACTAAATAACGTTATTGTCAAGAAAAATAAAACAATAGATTTTATAGGAATGATAGAATTATTGACCAAATATTAATAAACACTTTATTTTATTAAGTCAATTTATAAGGAAAGAATGATAATTATGATGATTAATAAAATTATATTGAATAATATTCAAAAGATTTAGACGGCATAAATAAAATATTATCAATTATAATAATTTGTTTTTAAATAATATAATTTTATTATAATTATTAAATTTTATATTATAAAACAAAGTAAAAAATTAACAAGAAGTTTTAAAACACAATAATTATTTCTTTGCTTTTTTAAAGTCTTGAATGTGAGTTATATGATTTTTAGTTAATGGTTTCTTTTTATAAATTGATTTGAGAATCGACTCAGTTGGAAGATGGCTTTGTTGAATAACACTTAAAATGGCAGGAATGCTATGATGGAATTGACGTTCATAATATAATTTTGCATCCCTAAAATCAAGAGTATTATCAGATCGATGTCTGGCATATACCATCATTTCTTCTGCACTTTCAATTACATACTCTTCGACTAAGTCTTGAAGAAAGCTTATAACTTCTTGATCAGGAGCTAATCGTGCATCAAGCATTTTCATAAGTTGAATAATGTTATCACGAGGAACTAATTCTCCTTGAGTTCTTGCTTTTATGGGTTTTGCAATTTGTCTATAAACTGATGTTGTTGTTCGATTATCCATTTATAAAATATAACTTTGGAATTTTTTATTTTTTGTTTTTGTTATTTTAAAAAGACTTCTATTCTCTGCAAATAATATAAATATGTTTATTATCATTATTCATAAATATCATCTTTACTTCTCTTACTGAAAAGAAAAAAAATACATTAATGTTCAAACAAATATTGGAGAATAAACAAATATCAATAAAAGGTATAATATGAATGATGAAAGAGAAAGAATAAAAACGTAATTAAAAAGAAACAAAACATGAAAATGAAGAAGAAAAAGAAAAAGATGAGTAAATTCATGACAATAAAAAAACTGCCAATAAGAAAATAGAATATTAAAAACAATGATTTAAGTTACATTAAAGAGTAACAAGTGAACAGAGAAATGAGAGTATGAAGAAATACAAAATAAGTGAAGAGAACGATGGTATAGAACAAGTAATATTCAGTCCAAGATAAAAGAAATAGAGAAACAGAAAATACAGTGACAATAAATACATAACAACGATAAGAAGAAAGAATAATAAAATGAAGAAAATACATGAATAAAAAATAGACAAACAAAGAAGAAATAAACATAAAGCAACAATAAATAATAAATAGAATAACAAATGAAGATGATATGATTCTCTAAATATGATATAATAAAATGTTAATAAGAAAATAAGAAAAGAATGAAGAAAAAGTACAATAAAAGATGAGACAATACAATGATAGAATAGTCATATGAATAACTTCAATAAACATTATAAATAATACAAAGAACATTAGAGTAATTAAGACATAAAAAGAAACAAGATAAAAAAAAAACAACAAATTTTAATTCTAAACATGATAAAAATCATTGGACATTGATTCTATCATAATTTAACATAATCAATTGAAATAATTGATGACAATGAATGGATTGATTTTCTCAAAATAAGAGAAAATTATTCTATTTATATTTAATTAAAGACTTTTTTATTTCAATTATTTAAGAAATTATGAAATACTTGAAAATCATATTGTAAATTAATTTTTCTTTTCAATTAAATAGCCTTTTTATGTATTATTATAAGGTTCCTTCTTTGTCGTCTATTCTTTCATCAGGATTTGGATCATAATATTTATCTAAAGTTTCATTTGAAATTC